TATTATTCTATTTGGAAAACTACATCGTGTTTTTTAAATTCTTTGACTTTCATGCTATGGTATACACGTTTATATAATCGTACGCGGTCTTGGTCAGCTAATTGATTTTAAGAAAAATATAACGAATTGAGTGTCGAAGTTAAATTTGTATTATTTTAAGAATATGAACGGTTTATATAACGAAATATATATCTTTTTAAGTGTCATCATTTTTTAAATGTGCAGGACTCTATATATACACTCTTTTCGTTGCCGCTATATATGTTATTATTATCTTATATATTATTATATATGGGATGTGTTCGTCATGATAATTACGAATATTTTTATATCGTGACCAAAATGAATCGAATATGTAACCATTGCGAAATATGTAATCTTACATTATCTATTAATCCGTTTTTCTCGGATATTTCTTAGTCGAAAAGACGTTCGATAATAACATATTAATACATGAAAGCATCACGACAACGATATCTGATAAAAAGTAACGTAGTTTATGAAGAATGTTATTTGGAATTTTGAGATCTCATGTTAATCGATCATATTATAGATGCAATCAAGTAAATATTCGGAACCTTTTCGTACGGGTCGGTCGTATTAATATTATCTTCCTGGTGAATAAAAAAAACGCACAATTTTCAATCGTACGCTATTAATATTGGCATTTAATATACGATTTCTAGCATAATCGAATAATATATTTCGTACATAAATAAATAGAACAATTTGGAATAAAGTTTTTGCCATTTAGAAATTTGAAAAAAACTTTCTTTTTTTCGAATTTACGAATATTGTCGACGTCTATTTCTCTTCTTGATAGCATAAGTTTCATTATCGATCAATCAGCATGTTCCTCTTAATCATGTAAACATTGTAAACAACTTAAATTGCAGATACGTAAGGAATATATGTGATTCATTGATGAAAATCGCTTAAAATATCTTAATGATGCTTACATTTAATGAGAATGTCATCTATCAAGGATTTATCATCTCAGTGCCAATTTGCAAAAAAAAAAAAACAGCTGTCACACGCTAGTTCCGTAGGCGAAATGCATTATTCCATTCTTAGCAGATGCAAAATTGTAGATTTGAATTTTTTAACTGCAAGTATTGATTATTTTATAAGGGAACGTAATGTAAAGCTAGTGTAGCTTATTATTCCAAAGATTTTTGTACTTGGGCTGTGTAATTTTTGTCATGGTTAATATAAATCAATTGATGATGGTGTTAGATTGAACATGTAACGAATGACATCGCGAACAGGATTCAACGAACTGTATCTATGTCATACAAAGTCTTTATCTGTTTACGAAGCAAGACCCATAGCTGCTCAAGCTTGTTCAAGAATGTTTTATATTATATCGATTACAAATAATCACAATGTAAATTAAAAGATGGTTTGCAAAATGCAAAGGCAGATAATAAAGATACTTGATTTTAGTTAATTGGGACATGTGGTTTTATTAATTCCTCCAATGACGTACAACGAATGTATAATGATCCATTGAAAATGCACAACTGTTAACACACAGCACGCAAATAATTGTTTCCAATGATTCAATATCAATACTATGCCAATGTAATTATTCATAAATATAACAATATTTATCAAACACATGGATAAACATTTCAAGAAAAAAGAAAGATTAAAAGATTTCATGACTTAATTATTTCAAGACTTAAAAATATGTTAAATGAAATTTAAATATAACTTTTGAATATGTTCAGAAAATATATAACTGCTTATAATATTAAATATCTAAATTCTGATTTTCTTCAATTTTGCAATTAGATTGAAAGAAACTTTTCTTAATCTACTTAAGACTGAAAACTTATAGTTACACCAATGCCATGTATTGTTACTTTCTTTACACAAAAAGAAAGGATAAATATATATGATCACATTTTCTACATTTTCGTTTCTTGAGAGCATTGTTCTCTATAATTTATGTTACACTTTTTAACGTATCAAAAAAGAAATGAATAAAACATATCTAGATTAGATTGATATTGAAATTACAAGTCTAAACTTGCGCCATTTCTTTGTTTCTCCTGGCTCTCAGTCCATGCCTTTGCTATGGTTTTCTTCGTCTCATCGTCACCATCCTGATACATTTTTTTCATAAGATTCATCAGGCTGGCGCCAGGATCGGTGTCCTCACCTAACTCAGGCATGGATGGTGATTTCGCGTCTTTGATTCTCTTCTCTACCAATGTAACATGCGACCACTCTTTGGCAATCTTTTTTGCGAGTGACACGACGATCATGTCGGTTTTTACTTTAAAGTTACTCTTCTCAATATCGATCTCCGCACACAGATTATTAATCGGTAAGTGATAATTTTTATTATCTAGTCCGAATATGCGTAGATCCAGAGATTTCTCTGTAAAACTGCAGACAACGGCCTCCTTAGGCAGTTGG